GCCTGTAATCCTAGCACTCTGGAAGGCCAAGGTAGGTGGATTGCCTGAGCTGACAGTTTCAAGACCAGCCTGAGCCAGAGCGAGACCTTGTTTCTAAAAATAACTGGGTATTGTGGCTGGTGCCTGTAGTCCCAGCGACTCTGGAGGCTGCGGCAAGAGAATTGCTTGAGCCCAGGAGTCTGAGGTTGCTGTGAGCTAGAATTAGATTTCTCAGGAGAGCCCTGAATTGCTTCTCATAGATAGTTTTTAGAGAAGTACTGTGCTGTACCCATACCACAAAGCCCAGGAAGCTGAGAGTTTGAGAGTAAGGGGAGGGTGAAGAGGTGGAGGGGTGCACATCACACCAGTCCTCCCGGTGTGCCCAGCAGCACTCACCCAGTTCTTTAGGGACACCTGATCTCTGCTCTTAGGAAATTTGAGTCTTTATTTCATAAATTTAAGACAAAACAGAATGCAACTTGTTTATTACATGCAGCTATTAGTGATCTTTATAGTCTCACAGTATCATTGATAATGACAGTGACGGCCGCCTGACATCTAGTCAATACCTGCTCTACACAGGGCAGTCTGCTGTGGCTACACAATTAGAGGTATTTTACTCTGCAGCCTTGATTTTTTCTTATTTGACCAGATTTGCTTTCTCTGTGTCATAGTGCTGTGTGTGCAAAAATTAAACACAGCTGTCTGAACTTTCAATAACACACTTCAGCCTTCAAAATACTCAAATATTTTAACTGGTAAGATTTTGACGGGCTTAGTAAAATATTTAGGAAAGATTTTTTTCTTAACTCTTGGGCATAGAATTTCATTTGAATGCAAACCAGGTTAATTCTGTTGACCACTGTTTCTTTTATTTTAAACAAGGCTATTAAAAAAAAGTTTAGCGTTTTTGAGGAAAACTTTCCTATAATATAACACCTTCCAGAACTCTGAGCATAATCTTGTATTGATTATCCAGTCATCATATAAACATAACATACATCGGTAGGCCCCCACAGTCTGGTATAGTTCATAGCGCACTTGCTCAAACTCCAAAGCTCCAAACTACGATTAATATAATTTTGTAGTTCTTGCATACCTGTGTTTTTTTATATTGTATGATTCCATTTTTCTTAATGTTTTATTTTTAATTATTATGGGTACATGATAGTTGTTTACCTTTATAGGGCACATGTAATATTTTGATACAGGTGCACAAAGTGAATTAATCAAATCAGGGTAATTGGGTGCCCGTCACCTCAGGCAGTGATCATGTCTTTGTGTTAGGAACATCCCAATTCTGCTCTTCTAGTAATATTATAGTATACTCTAATTTGTTGATTATAGTCACTTGGTTGTGCTACCAAATATTCCTTCTAACTATATTAGATACTAATATAGTTCTATATTATTACATATATTATTATAACTATATTTTACACCATTAACACCCCCACTCCATCCCCTCCCGACTCCCCTTCCCAGCCTCTGGTAACCATCCCTCCACTCTCTAACTCCAGGAGATCAGCTGTTTTTCCTGTTTAGCTCCTACAGACGAGTGAGAGCACATGAGCTGTGTCTTCCCTACAGGGCTTATTCCCTGGCACACAGGTCCTCTGGTCAGCAGTTCAGTGCTCTGTCTATGCCCACCCCCCTGCACAGCTGTCACATCCTGGGACTGCTCTGGGCTTGTCTCAGCAGCAGCCTCTAATTTTACTTTGAGAGATCAGATAACTACACTTGGTAAGATTATTTACAGAGAAAAAATAATCTTGTGGTGCCTATTTTGGTTATTCAGAAGATGCATTTTTTTACTTAACATTTTTGTTATATTTTAGAGACTTGGAAGTTATCAGAAAAGGAAATTCTAGATCAGTGAAATGATAGTGGTGTGGTGTCTTACAAATCACTGATGAAGGTAAGTGTAGTCTCCATAGAAGAGTAAGAAAAAGGAGCAGGAACTGGGCTGAGCAAACCTCAGAGCAGAGATTTTCAACCGGCGTACCACGAGAGGATCACAGGTGTGCCACAAAATTTTTAAAGATCATCAGTTAAATTATTTTTGAAAGAAGTTCAAAGCATAGTAAGGAAATATTTTTTACTCTTTTGGGGGGGGGCATGGTAAGAATATATTTTTTACTGTTTTTTGGGGGGGAGAATCAACATAATTTATAGGTTATGGAAGTTTAACTAGAGGTTCTAGAGTGCTGTGAGATAAGAAAGGTTGAGAGACACTGGCCTGGCCATGGGCAGCTTTCTGTTTTCAAAGCATTCCTCTTCCCTGTGCCACGTGAGAGTACACACTCTCCTCAGGGTATGGATACATGCACAGGATGTCGGTAACATAAATACAAGTTTGAATATTAGTAAGATAGGGATTGAAATGTGACAATACGGTCTCAGATTGGCCAAACCACACAGAGCTCAATAACAGATCTGGGTCATCAGACTGTATTGATCTCAGGGTGGATCCAAGTAGATATTCTAAGTAAATGACCGATTTTTCCTCAGCGCTTCAGAGAAATAAATGGATTTTAAAATATTCTTGGTAATTTTTAAATACTACTAAAGCAAAAAGACTTTGCAGACAGTTTTTTGAGGCAGAGGTTAGCTGACTAAACACTGACAGGGCAGAGGAGAGGTTTAACCACAGGAGCCCGCTCCAGTCTGTGTGAAGGCCCTTGTATTGGAAACGCAGGCATCAGTAGGGATTATGTCAGACAGCTGGTTTATGTGCCGCGCTATAGTATTCCGATGTTACGATTCTGAAGCAAATATTCCCATTATTTAAACACGAGGCTGTATCTTTAACACAATATACAACAAGACAATTCCCTTAGCGTGGAACGTGTATCATGGAGGAAGCAAGCCCTGAGCCAGGAGGCCTGGGTGAGCTTGTTGGGCATGTGGGGGCCACTCCCTGTGCCAGGTACTAGAGCTTCAAAGGATGGTGATGAAAGTTAGAAGTGAGGCCATCCACACTCCTTTGCCCAGTTCCTCCAGGGACTGATGTGGGTGTGAGTCCCCTGGGCCTAGCCCAGGGTACAGTGTGTATGTCTTGGACACTTCTTAGGAACTGTATGTGTCCTGCTTCCCCCAACCCCCCTCTGCCAAATTCATTTGTTGAAGCCCCAACCCCTAATGTGACAGTATTTGGAAGTGGGACCTTTAATTGGGGCCAGATGAGGTCCTAAGGATGGAGCCCTCATGATGGTATCAGTGTCCTTGTGAAGAGAGACGAGAGCTGACCACCCCCTTCCCCACCTACGTACAAAGAAATGGTCACAGCAGCACAGAGTGAGGTGGCAGCCGCCTGCAGCCAAGGGGCCAGGCCCCAGAGTGACACCTACCTTGCCAGCACCCTGATCCTGCCTTCCTGGCCCCCAGAATGGTGAGGAATAATGTCTTTTGTCCATGCCGCAGAAACTGGTGTTCTGTTATGGCAGAGGACACCACCCTATCAGTGAGATGTGCTTTGAATTAAATGAAATAATTTAAAAAATAAATGGCAGTTAATTGAATACTTGCTGAACCCTACTCTATAAAACATATTTGCAGATACAGTAACAGTTATAACTGATTTACTTTTAAATCTTTATTGAATGATTTTTAACAGGTTCACATTATTTAAAAATGTACATTTGCTTTGAAGTTCAGCTATTTTGGACACCACTTATAAAATCATTTATCATAATATACTCAAATACCCCTTTGCATGCTAGTCAAAAATATAGATCCCCACTATTAAAAAATAGTAATAAGTAAAATAAATTTGAATCCTAGTAGAATCAGGGACTTGAGTGTATCATGGGAAAAGAGAATGTGGCCCCAAAAGAGATAGACCAGAAATCAGCCTGCAGTTCCCGAATTTTAGGGTGCCTCGATGATGGATCACTGGAACTCTTTAAACACAACGGCCCAAGCGGCCCCCCTTTTAGAGTGAGCGGCACCTGTCTTGTGTTTCCCCAGAGCAAACACTGGGCTCAGGCTGCGCGGCTGGAGTCACCCAAGAAAATAGCCAGAATCTTCTTTAAAAACTCACATTTGTAAATTATATTCATTTTTAGGAAAGAATATATCTAAAACTAATCGGAGAAGTCACCAAAATAACATGCCTACGACCCTAGTGAAGAAAGCTGAACTTTCTCAAGCGGAAAAGGCTTTCTCTTGAAAAAGATTATAGAATTCCTTGTCCAAAAAATACAGCACCTCGCACATAATAGAGAGTATACCACAAAACGATGTTTTTAATACAGGATCATTTCCTATGCGTACATGAAAAATCCAAATTTTAAGTATTTTAAGTAAAAACTTGAAATCCCCAAATGTCCCAGCTTCCCTATTTCTAAAGTAGGTTTATTTCATAGAATAAAGTATTTTTCCTATTTTAAAATAATACACACCGCATATTGCTATTCTTTAAAGCGGTAAGATAGTTAATGGTTTTGTTTATAAAGCTTGCTGTTTCTTCTGCTTTTTTATTTTTCAAAATTAAAAAAAAATAATAAAAACCACTAGATTTCTCAGACCCCGAAGACATAAACACAGGGGGCACGAGGCGACCGGCACCATCTCGGAGTGGACGACCTGGGCTGAGCCGCCGCCTCGGTCCTGATTCTGACCTGTCTTCACATTTAATACGACTGGCATCCCCGTAGAGTCTTCTTAGAGTCGGGCCCTGAGAATACGTCCATTTCTAGCACCGGGTGGAAGTTTTAAAGTGTCTAATTTTTAAGAAGACAGAAAGAAAGGAAACGAATCTTTCCCCATTCCTGACACCCACCACCGTGTAAGGAAGAGCACATCCTGGGCACCAAAGTGCCACCTACGTTCAGTATTGGCACCTACACATTTTTAAACATACGAAAATCTTCTAATTTTGGAAACAATACATTTGTAAAAATGTTGAATGCTACGGGCAGGGTTCAGGGTGAGGCTTGTCCTATGAAGCCGCAGCGCGGCACCAGATCCGCTGTCCCCTGCGCGTCCTGCGGCCCCGACCGGGCCCTCGGTCTGCGGGGTCAGCCGTAGGCGCAGCGGGCGTCGTCCCCGTGCACCCAGCGGCAGATCTGCGCGAACTTGACGGGGGTGATGCGCACCGCCACGTTGTAGTCCCGGGGGACGCCGCGCACGCGCACCTGCTGGTGGCCCGAGTACACGGCGATGACTTTGCGCCGCCAGGTCTTCCCGTCCGGGTCGCGCAGGCGCAGGTAGACGCCGGCGCCCGCCGAGCCCGCCTCGGCGTCGCAGTATTGGTAGAGGAGGTCGCCGGCCGCGTCGGACACGCTGCAGAACCGGTAGACGAGCTGGCCGTCCCTGTC